TACAAATTGCAGCGAACACAAATGCTCCGTCAGTGTTATTGCAGGCTTCATTAATGATGATCCTTCACATTTCAGCAACAGCCATTCAAGGATCTGAAAACATTTATATGCTTCTGCGAGCCAAGTGTCATGCTCCATGTGTGAGCCAGATGTTCACAGCATCATTTTACAAATGAGAGAACTAAGTTCACAGGACTAGCTCCAGACCCCTTTCCTCCCACTGAGTAATCCACTGCCCACCAACTAGTCATAGGGGAATTATCCAATTCAACACAAGTCAGGATACCATTACGGTCTCTTTGTTTCTTTGCATTGTCTCTGCTCCCTTGTTCCTTATCCACTTGGATTTTTGGCCTGGAGGGGTACCTCTGAATGTGTCCACTGCAGCACAGCATGGCACAGCGATGCATCTTAGCACTGCTCAGACAACAGTACCAGAATCTGGCTCATACTGAGGTCTCAGAGGAGATCTCCAGCAGATCTCAGCATGACTCAGGCACCTCACAAACAGAGCAAGTCTGGTTAATATACAGTAGCAGCTAAACCAACTAAATGCATCATCTCTACCAYTCTAGACATCTCCTTTTCTCTTCTGAGTACAGTTTGTCTGCATGGAGCAAGAGCATGTGTTCTTCCAAGAGTCAAAAAGTCTAGGAAAGGATTCCCACTTAGACAACTCACTTTTTAGGCACTCAGCCTCTCCCTCTCCTCCCCAGCCCTTCCTGGCTGAGCTGGACAGGAGATTCTCTTGCAGTTTGAGAAACACCTGCAGCAGAATCTCCCCCACATCCCTCCTGCCAAATGGCTCCACCAGCTGGATCACTGTGTTATGTCATTTTTGTAAGATTAGGGAAAAATCACATGCTGCTCCCTCTAGTGAGGACCTGGGCACACTTAAGCAACCTGGTCCCCACTCCGGATACCACTGTAACCATCATTTTTAGGCTCAGCAGGCAACATTTTTACAGTGAACATTTTTACAGGACACAGTGAAACTCTGTCTGCCAGCTCTAATCTTCCTCCCATGCCCATACTTGAACTTACCTTAATGGTTCGCTCTGGGGCTGCTGCTCTGCATGCACAGGTCTCACGAGCCTAAGAGGCTCCTAACAGTATTTACAGATCTTCACCAGTCCTCAGTTCATACCTAGTCYGAGCTCAGAGTGACCTCAAGGCAAGAGCACTAGGCAGTTGTGATCACCTGAGCAGGGATGTCACGGGTCCATTCTGCAGTTGGCACTAATTAATCAAATAAAAGCAAGCAGGGAAATTAAAAGGAGGCACATACCAGCGAACTGCCATAGCATTGCTCAGACAAGCAGTCTGGCTCCCACATTCATTCCAAGGATAGCAGAAAGTTGTTAAACTCAGATCAATTCACGATGAAATAGGTACAAAATGGATATTAAAGCTTCAAAGATGAAAGAAAACTGGGAAAAGACAACAAATTACAAGAGGATGCTGCTAAGGTAACCATGGCCTTTCTACTTTACACTGCATATTTGAGGCCATCCAGTAATGCAGATGGAGAGCCAAGGCTCCAGATGAGCAGGAGTCCCTCAAAAACTGATTGCTTGAGACCACCTCATGCTTGCACATTGYGATGCAGGCAGTACAGCAGTCCTGCATAGGTCTTTCTTGCTTGTGTCATGGAATACCYGAAGGGGAAAGATGTCATTACTTTCTAGAATGCTCCTAGTTTCATGGTTTAGCTGTTTCTCCCATTACAAGGAAATAACCATCGGAGGTGCTGAACTCCTGTGGACCAGGSCCGCAGCCATGTGTGGAGAAACAAAGTTTGGCAGCTCTCTGCAGTGCTGGCCGATGCACAAGCAAACACCCAACTGCCAGCATATCTCATCAGCCCCTTTAGSCAGTTCCAGCTCCTGTCCTACAAATACAAACCTCAAGCACTTGACTGACTTTCCCCAGCATGGGAAACAGTGATCTGTTGCCCTCCATTTCCACTGGCACTGAACTCTTGCAGAAAAGGTTCAGGAAGAGCATTATGGTGGCAGGSTGGCTTGCTGACAATGTGAGACATATGGACAGGCACGCATGGTGCTGGAGGTTTAGTCCTTTATCATCTGAAGGCAAATATCTAACCCTAGATGCCTCAGTGCTCCAGGACTGGCATTTAAGTCCCTTTGTGTGTCCATATAGCAAATACACATTCTTGTACTTTACCAGATGAGCTTGCTAGGACCACAGAGCACTCCAAGGGCCTCCTCCTGCACGTGTGTGCTGTCACAGACTGCACCGAACTTTAGTCAATCGCAATCACCACCAGGACAAAAAAAACCTTTTTCTCTTCCTGCAGTTATAGAAAGCCTGAAAAGGATCCCAAAGACCTGTCACCTCTGCTTGAGTTTGCAGGGAGCTTGAGAGACACTGTTCTGAAGGGCTTGAGCCACCATCACACCTGCTCTGCTTGCCAAGGCTGAGAGTGAAGGAGAAAAATGTAAACATTTACACAACATTTACATTATGTAAAACATAAATGTAAAAGAAAAAAACAGAAAAGAAATGTAAAAAAAAAATAGAAAAGCAATTGCTGCTCTTCCTTACAGCAGTGCCTAGGCTCTGGCTTCACTTCTCAGCCCCACAAAGCAATAAGCAACAGCTGTGAGCTAAGCCTTGCTAAATGGATGGATATCCACCTCTGCAGCAGCAGCAGGAGTTAACGAGGCTGCAAGCAGAGATCACTTCCAGCCAGGGAGGGTGAAACACCACAGGACACAGCAGGCAAAGCTGAGCCAAGAAAGCAGTCGGGATAGTGGGTGAGACAGCCAGAGATAGCCAGGAAAGCTGGCACTGAGATAGGGACAGAGGGAAATCTGTCACCTGCTAGTGCACCTAGGAAGAGCWGTGGAGCAGGACCAGAATATTGGATGCGCCTATTTAACATCATTTCAAAAAATAAATAACTAAAAATAATTATTCAAAATAATCTCAGTGGCATGGCATCTCTATGCCCACCACAGACAGGAGGGCTTCAGCAGAGCAATCTGTGGCCAAATGTCCTTGTTCCTTCTATAGGACCTAATGGGAGAGGACAGACTGGACAACTGGGCAGTGAGAAAACTCATAAAGTTCAACAAAGGCAAGTGCAGGGTCCTGCACTTGGGGAGGAATAACCCTGGACACCAGAACAGGCTGGGGACCAACCTTCTGGAGAGCAGCTCTGTAGAGAGGGACCTAGGCGTCAAGGTAGATGACAAGATGACCATGAGGCAGCAGTGTGCCCTTGTGGCSAAGAAGGCCAACGGGATCCTGGGGTGCGTTAAGAAGAGCATCTCCAGCAGGTCGAAGGAGGTGATCATCCCCCTCTACACAGCCCTGGTGAGGCCACATCTGGAGACTGTGTCCAGTTCTGGGCTCCCCAGTACAAGAGGGATGTGGAGCTGCTGGAGAGAGTCCAGCGCAGGGCTACGAGGATGATCAGGGGCCTGGAACATCTGCCCTGTGAGCAAAGGCAGAGAGAGCTGGGTCTGTTCAGCCTGGAGAAGAGAAGGCTGAGGGGGGACCTGATCAGTGTCTATAGATACCTCAAGGGAGGCAGGGAGGAGGAGGGGGCAGCCTCTTTTCAGTGGTGGCCACTGATAGAACTAGAGGAAAAGACCACAAACTGAAGCACCAAAAGTTTCACAGGAACTTAAGAAAACATTTCTTGACAGTGAGGATCACAGAGCACTGTAACAGGTTGCCCGGAGAGGTTCTGGAGTCTCCATCTCTGGAGACTTGGATGCAGTCCTGTGCCACGTGCTCCAGTTCATCCTGCATATGCACGGGGTTGGACCAGATAGTCTGTAGAGCTCCCTTCCATCCTTAATGATTCTGTGATTCTATGACTAGCATGTGACATGCTGACGTCTAGCGAGGCAGGGCAGGAGGACAACACTGAGTTCTCATTCCACACACCTGAGGCACTAGCTCCCAGCAGGAGACAGGCAGCACATTGACTTGCAGTGAGCAAGGGTCAGCACACATTGCCCCAGCAGCAGTGACCCCCAGGGGACACACACCGTGCTGTGACTCCCAGCAGCGCCGCAGTGATTCCCAGCAGGGCCCTTGTAATGCACCAGCTCCCAGCCGTGCACGTGCACTGCGATGACTCCCAGCAGYGCAGGATCAGCATGCAAGGCATGGACTCCTAACAAAACACGTCCTCCTCCCATTAGGACTGGCTCTGTGTATGACACACCAACTCCAGGCAATGCACTAACCCCCAGGGGCAGGGGGCCTGCTTGCAATGTCCAGGCCCCTCTGCGTTGTGCTCCTGGTCTAGTAGCGCCGCGAGGGCTGCCCTGGCAGCGAGCGGGTGCTGGCACAGGACAGGCTGCGTGTCTGGGGGGACAGAGGTGCCATAGAAGGGCTCCCAGTGCCACCTAGTGGGGGACAGGAGACGCTTAGGGGCCACCCATCCCTGAGACCCGTGTGCTGGTGAGCGGAGCAGACCTTGCTGGCCAGCCAGCCTCTCCATCACCCCGTCACRCTGCCCTGCAGCCTGCCCAGCCGGCCCTGCCAGCCCCCCTTTTTGTGCTGGCTCGTCCTGGGCGCTGCAGGCTGCATAACACATCATTGTGGGAAGGACAGAGGATCTTATTTACAGTTTACTAATCATCTTGTGTACGGTGCTGTCAAGTCACAACGTTTCCATGCCGCACTTGGTCAGATATCCATAGCTTCTGCTCGTGAACTACAGCATCTGAGAAGCAGTAGAGCCACTGTAACAAAGTGATGGCTCACACAGCGACCCAAACAAGTACTGCATCTTCCAGGGCACACACGGATTTTTTATTTGTATGGTCACTGCAGCTTTACCCTCATCTCTGTATCTTAACTCTGAAACACACAATCGTGCATCTACAGGAAGTCACCACAGACACATCAGCCAAAGAAAACACCAGCACAGCAAACAGCTTGRGTGACTGGACAAGTTTTATTTTATAGACTTTCTCCCTCAAAAAACATACCAGAGGTTTAGGGAGGTGGGAATAGCAGATGGGGCCATAAGGATGTAGTACAGAGCTATGCGGAAGTTTACATAAAGGAGGGCTCCTAAGGAGTAACAAATGCCATTTAACATATGCAGGGAAGAGAGGTGTGCAGTTCTGGTGCACATAAGTRCAATCTTTCATTCAATCTTTCCACACAGCATGCAATAGTCAATCTTTTAAGCAGCCTGTCCACTTGTCTACAGCCTCTTTGCCTTTTCTTCCATTCCATCTGCCTCTTCAGGCTCTTCYTTCCTCACATGTCCTAAGCCTGAAAACAAGCCCTAGGACATTAAAGAGAAAACCATGACACCTTGTGGAACAGATAGAGCCTTCCCCAGATAAAGGCACTCTCATAAATATCAGTATTTTACCCTGCAGGTCAAAATGCAGGTGAAAACAGACCAMGTAGGTCCCATGTAACTGTGAATTCCCAGTACATACCCCAACTAATGAGCAAATACAACCCCTCTTTGTGCAGAAGATCAGTGACCRGATTTTTACTGACCTTAATCGTGATTAAATTGAGCATCTCTCTAGGGATTTTTTTTCCCAGGGAACTAAAATCCTGGCAAAAACTATAAAAGCTGCAAGATACTCTATTATTTTCGTGATCCACCCTCCGATCAAGGCAAAGGGGAAGACTAGAAAATYAAAGTACTCAATCTGAGACTCATTCTGGTGATGATCTCAGCTAGTGCAGATCCCAAACTGCCCTGCAGTAATACATGAGATCAGTCTAGAAATGGAGAGAGAGGAAATGCCGCAGAGAGGTGGCTATAGAGTTCAAGGCAACAAGACGGAAGGAGCTAACAAAAAAAACCTGTCTGTAATTAAGAAGGATATTGGTACAAGCTAGGTCCTAGGCAAACTAATGGAATGGGCACATCCCTCTGGTAAATACCCAGCATAGACCCAGGACACCAAATCAACAGCTCAGGTTTGTCTAGAAAGTCAAAATGCCATCCCCACAGGGTTACATTCTCCCAACGCCCTCATCCCTAGGACAGCCCGTTCTCACCTAGAGCAGAAATCCTTCGGGTTCCCAAAGAAATGCCATCTGGTGCCTGAATACTGGAGCTGCGGGCTGTCCTCTTCCCATGGACCCACCTCTTCTGCTCTCACATGTCCCACCTGCCAGCCCTCTGCCTATATTAAAAGCGGCAGAGTCTGGGGTTGGAAAGATCAAGCAGGCTGAGGTGGTCTATTGCACTTCCTCAGGACTAATGTCCTTCAGAGCTGCCCTTTCCTTCTGGAGCAGCATGGTCTGAAAGAAAGGAGAGAGATGGGAGTACACATCAGTCTCAAAGCTGAACTTCTCCAGTCACTTAGGATCTGATTATGAGTTTGAGAGCACTTACATGAGAGAAAGCATAGCTGGGGAACTGCTAAAGAGAGACTTGACTAGGTCCCTTCCAGGTCACCGAGCACAGACAGGGTGGCAGAAGCAGCTTCGGGCTCTTGGATCTGTCAAATTTTGGTGGCAAAACTGAAAAATGTGGTAGAAGATAGTTTCGTTTTGCAATTTTTGCCAAGCTGTCAGGATACACTGGTGACGACGTGCTGCAGAGAGACCTTGGCTGGCAATAAGGGAAGCCTTAGGGCAGGTGGCRATGGTCTGTACATAGGAGGGAGAGGTGGAAAAAATTGAGGTGCGCGAACACAGTGGATTCTGTGGGAGGGAAGGAGATGATTGGTGAAAGGTGTTGGGGGGAGTTATCAGATCCTAGGAGAGTCCAGGGAGAATGAGACCCATCAGAAGATCAATAGCTCAAATAGATCACAGCAATCCAGCTCCTGCTGGTGCATGGCCCGGTCCCGAGAATGAGAATGTTACAAGATGAGGCCAAGCAGGTTTCTTACTACCTCCAGACCAGGAGGACTTCTGCTGGCCTCCTGGCAGCAGAAGGAGGCTGCCAGGCCTCCTGATATACAACAGAACAAGAAAAAGATATATCCAGGCATATCTTGCCACTTTCTTCAGCAAGAAGCCCTGAGGGCTGAGMCACATACCATGCTTCTATGTGACAGCTTGCATCTGCATAGGAAATCATCCTTCAGCAGCATATGTTGTTATCTGAACTCCAAGAAAGATGTTAACACCTGCCATCTGGTTCCAGAGAGGCTTCAGGGGTCCGGGGAATGAATCAGATAACCCTAACCCAACCCTAACTCTACCCTAACCTCCTTTCTCCCTGCTGGATAGTTGCTCCTCTTCCAGGAGAGCCTTGGTTTTCCTAGATTCCACACCCAAATAAGATTCAGGGCTCTGAATAGAGCTCTCCATAGAAACTGGGATTTGCAAATCCCAGAACCCTTTGCCCAAGCAACCCAGATCAATGCTCAGAAGGAAAGTGAGAGGTACARGGTGCTGCCATGCTCCCAGCAAGCTCCTTTGGGGTATGCCCACATGGCCAAACAGCTCCATTCCCTGGTTTCCTTTGGGATACAAAGATGATTAGGGAGCTGGAGCATCTCTTTTAGGAGGAGAGGCTGAGAGAGCTGGGACTGTTTAGCCTGGAGAAGACAAGGCTGAGGAGGGGACTTATCAGTGTGTACAAGTATGTGAGGGAAGAGTGGCAAAAGGATGGGGGCCACACTACTTTCAAGAGTGGACAACGGCAGGAGAAGAGGCAACAGACAGTGACTGAAACAGAGGGAGTTCCATCTGAATACAAGGAAAATATTCTTGACTGTGAGGGTAACAGCACTAGACCAGGTTGCCCAGATGTTATGGAGTCTTCTTCTCTGGAGATATTCAAAACACACCTGGACACAGTCCTCTGCAATGTGCCCTACACAACCCTGCTTGAGCAGAGGTGTTGTTGGATTAGATGATCTCTGGAGGTCCTTTCGAACCTCAAACCTCCTGTGATTCTGTGATTCAAGGAGACCTTGCTCTAGGTTCTAGTCCTTGACTCTTCATCCATACTGTAGGAATAGCTTTTTGCAGGTAGATCCTAGTTTGAAGAGGATCAGTTCAGCTTGTCCTAGGCAATGCATCACTGCACATGAGATAGGTCACATCCTGGCTGTCACGTATCTTCAAAATCACAGCAATCAATCACAGCACTCACAGCAAAGACTGCAGTGTGGAAGTAGTCAGTCCTAAGCACTGTTGACCTAAGCCATCCTGCATCATATGACATGGAAGCCAGRGATTGTTCATAGTCACAAATGTCTTTGGTAGTGCTAAAGCTCTGATACCATCACTACAGTCAGCTCAAGCCTCCAGGCCTGCAATAGAAGTTGTGCTGTGTCAGAATAACAGTGTGCCAACAGTACTACCCTTCCTCAGCAATTGCAGGAGGCTTAGAAGGGACTATAAGAAACAAGGTGAGTAGAATGATCCCATTACCCAAGGTGAGTAGAATGATSCCATTACCAATGGTGCCTTCCAGGTACTACCAAACTGCTCCTCAGGGCACTTCCCAAGCTGGAGACTGTAGTTGTCATGGGACTTTTAATGGTGTTAAGCAAAAGGTTACCTCTGGGTCTGATTGCTGCCTCTCAGCAGCAGGGAGTGAGCAATCCCTATTTATCTCATCTGTAAAATATGACAATCTCCTTGAATTTTTTTTCAGATATGCATATAAAAAAGTATAAGTATGTATCATATATGTAAATATATATATAACATATGTATATATAGATGAAGCTTACTGTTACTTCCAACCATCATGCTGAAAGCACACAGTGTGCAAAGCAATTCCATCCTTCGCTCTGTGGACCTGCAAATCTGCAGACAAGGAACAGGCCACCTGCAGACTGGCAGCAGCCATAAATCCTGAGGCTTATGTCCTCCAAAGCAGCATGCTGGCTACTRCCAACTGTCCATGGGATCACAGCAGACAGCTTTAACTTATGTCTTCCACAAAGTGACTACCAGCAAAAACAGATAAATTCTGACCTTTATTCTGTCTCAGTGCTTCTCTGCTCCAGCAGTCAGAGAAGCATCGATGTTTGCCTATACATCAGCATAATCACATGATCTCAGACAACCTAAAGCTCACAATATCTTCTTCTTGCCTGTTGAATATTGGGGTTCTGCAATCAAGTCAGGCCCTAGATTACTGTTTTCCAGGAATTAAAGACAAGAAACATGAAGGAAATCACAGTTCTGCTTGAACTGTATAGTGCTGACCATCAGTCACTCTCTATAATTAATTAGATCCTTAAAAAGCATAAGAAACTAAGACAAACAAGATCTACAAGCTGACCGCACTGCATCCAGAGTGCATTTATCTCTAGACAATGAATAAATAGCTCTGACGTAACTACTTATAGCAATTTTTGAYGAGATGTTTGAGTATCAAACTCATCCTCCATACATCGCTGATACAGCTCTGAGCAAATGTACTGATGGAAAACCACCAGCTATATTTACAAATGAGTCTAAAATCTTGCACATAAATCCGGGAGAAACTATTCCAAGGACCTGCAACACCACCTCCTCTTTCTATAGCTATGCCACAGTACAAGCATCTCTCCGTGCAGTTACTATGTATTTCAGCCCATATCATTATTGTGAAAAGCACAAACACACTATTCTCAAGGACAGACAAGAAGTCACAGGCTGAGTGGATATTCCCAACATCCCTCAAACATCTTGAGACCCAGAGCATTCAGACTCCCTTTTCCCGTATGTATGGCAAATGGACACAGTTTGTACCCAAAGCAATGTCGGTAGTTGATGGACGCTATTCATTTCCAGATTTCTGCTCAACTGGAGTCATAATCTAGTGATTTCATCTGCTACCAGACTCTGACTGCAGGAAAATGCAAACATTTAAATGGGCTATTTCTGCACTTGACTAACAATCAGCCCTTTTCAGGGAAGGAAGCTTGTTCTTTCATCTCAGGCAGCCCATATTGCCACTGCTTAATCAGGCCGAGATTTAAGGAAGCCCGCTGTGAGATGACACAGATTGCTTCCTTCCCTAGGAGCTGGCAAAAACTACGGTCAGTGTGTGACCAGAAACCTCTGCAAAAAGAGTCCCCATTATACACAACAGCTGCATCCTTCTCTCCTTTCTCTGCAGGCATTTGGTCCCCACACACCTGGACTAGAATCCAGGGGCTCTGTGTGTCCAGTCACACCATACGTTGACCCCTGTCTTTATTCCTTGGAAGGGCCAAGTAGGTCTTAACTGGCTGCTGCACAGTAATGGGAAAGCAGGCAACCAAAGGGAGAATAAGGAGCTGTTCACACGTCTCTTCTGCTTCCCAAGTCAGCCCTGTAGACAGAGCCTTGTCTCGGTGTAGATGAAACCATCTGCTCTGTGTCTGCAACTCTAGACAGGCAAAGGGCATGGACAGCTGCTGTATCCAGTCACTTGCTACCCAGGCAATTCCCAGATGCACTGGGAGAGGGGCAGGGCTGGGAGAAGAGGCTGCAGTAGCAAGGGACACACAAGATGTCAGCAGAGATGTCAGCAAGCAAGGCAGAGGTGGGCAAAGCCCAATCCACAGGACAAGACTGGGCATCTGAGACTCAGTACACGCAGATTCAGTACGAATGGCTCCAAACAGTAAGAATTTTTTGATTCCCTTCCTGCCAGTCCTCTGTGAAAGAGCTGACAGATGTCCTACAAGAACAGGTGAAGGATTGTGTCTTCAACCTCAGCAGGTCCCTCAGGGCTCTGAATTTACCACCCTGTCAGGGTGCTGGAGCTAAGCAGTGCAACTGCTTCGTTGCACTCAGCTAAGCGGTACAACTTCTTTACTAGGGACTCAGCATCCTTATTCCAGTTCCAGTGCCAAAGCTGCTGCTGAAGGGCAAAAATAAGCATGTGGGACCCTCATCCATATATATTCCCTAAACCTCTTCTTCCTGGCATGGCAGATAGGATGTTGCAGGTTYTGTTATCCTGTAACAGAACTAGACATGTATGGGTAACCTGCTGTAAGTGTCCTGCCCCAAGCAKAAGGGTTGGACCAGATGATCCCCCAAGATCTCTTTCAAGCCCAACTATTCTGTGATTCTGTTTGAACTAGATCCGTCCAGAACCCTTTCCACACAARGCCTCTACGGCCTCTAAGGACTATCCATATCAGTAAACTTGCAGGTGTTCACCTCCCTGAATATGAGTTTAGAGAGCAATTACAGGGAGATCTCCCATGAATGACACCCAGAAATACCAACACCCCTCATAGGGCTGTTTTCAAGGAGGTTTGGGGCAGTCCCTTGTAAGATGTGTTACCTTTTCAGGTTCCCTCCAGCCTTTCCTGCCTGCATGGCCCTCTCCTGAAGCAGAGCT